TGTGTGTGTCTTATCTCACTCAGCCTTATAACCTGAATCTCTCACTCTCTGCTCTTTGAATTGAGAAAGCTCCTCGGATGAGGAGAGAAACGTCTTCTGTTACAAATAAAGTCCAGTTGTTTTTGTATTGAACACTTTTTGAATTCCTATCAAGCACTTTGGTCAGCAGTGGTTGTTTTTAAATATGCTATATAAATAAACTTACAGTTGAATTGAATTGAATTGTTTGCTTCTACCCATTAATTCACTTGTTGTTTTCCATAGGTTTTTTTTAACCATTACAGTGCTCAAATGTAATTTGATAATATTGCTTTTTCTTTAGCTTGTTTAATTTTGTTTGTTTATTTCTATGTGAACAATAAATTTTCCAATCTGCAGCATTCCCTGACATCACAGCAACTCTTTTCATTTCATTCCTATTTTTCATTAAATTTCTTAAGTGATTATCTAACCAAGGAGACCTTGAGGATCTTACAGACGATCTTTTAATTGGAGCATGTTTATCACAGACAGCTGAAAATGATTTACAAAAGGAAGTTGACACTGGCTCTGCATGCGTTATCTGTAATATATCATCTCACTTTACACATCTCATGTCTTCTATAAAACTTTGTTCTGAAAAAAAATTGTACATTCTACAAAAGTTAAATCTGGTCCTTTGGACATTCAAAAAACAAAACAAAGCAAAACAACAAAAAAATGTAGAAACGTTTCGTCTCTCATCCAAGAGACTTCCTCAGTCTGAGGAGCTGTTTTCAGCTCAGTCTCTTAAATAGCACCTTCTCAGAGTGGATCAACCAGTTTTGCTGCTGACAACCAAAACCAGCTGATCACATGCTCAAAAAGGACCATCAGCCTAACAATGGATCATTAGCACACTGATGGCTGTTTACTGTTCACAGAGGGTTGAGTGATACTAGCAATCACAGCATTGTAAGAGGGGGACAGTTGAACCCGGAAGCATTCACCCCTGTTTAATGATGGACAGTTTCTTTTCACAAAGATGGCCTCCTTTACTCCTCTCTCAAACCATCGTTCCTCTCTGTCCAGGATGTGAACATCTTCATCCCTGAAAGAGTAACTGCTGACCTGAAGATGAGTGTAGACCGCAGAGTCCTGGCCTGATGATGTTGATCTTCTGTGCTGGTCCATCCTTTTGGCCAGTGGCTGTTTAGTTTCCCCGATGTAAGACTGATCGCCCTCCTGACACTGAACAACATACACAAAATTACTCTGTTTGTGCCGGGGGACTGGATCTTTGGGATGAACCAGTCTTTGCCGTAATGTATTTTGGGGTTTAAAAGCCACTGGGACGTTGTGTTTAGAAAATAAACGTCTCAGTTTCTCTGATACTCCCTCAACATACGGAATGACCACTGGTCTGGGTCTGGGTTCCTCCTTTTCAAATGACGGCTAGCTGGAGTCCTGTTTTTATTTCTTCTCTGCTTTCAGGAAGGCCCAGTTAGGATATCCACATTGCTCTAGAGCCTGTCTTGTGTGGGATTTCTCCTTCTGCCTGGCTCCTGAGTTAGTGGGGACGCTGTCTGCTCTGTGGTACAGAGTCCTGATGACTCCTAACTTGTGCTCCAAAGGGTGATGGGAGTCAAACTGCAAATACTGGTCTGTGTGGGTGGGTTTGCGGTACACGTCAGTTTGCAAATGTCCTCTGTCAGAGACTGAGACTTCACAGTCCAAGAAAGCCAACCTGCCATTTTTTACATCCTCATGTGAACGTGATGTATTTATCCACAGAGTTGATGTGGTCAGTAAAATGTTGGACTTCCCAAGATCTAATTTTAACCCAGGGTTAATTGGTTCAACATACCTGAACCAATGACTTGGTGGTGTCCCTGAAAAGGATGTCAAGGCTCTCTTTTCTACCTCCTCCATGTACAGGTTGGCCACAATAGTAGAAACTGGAGACCCCATAGCACACCCATGTTTCTGCCTATAATATTGCTCCCCATATGTGAAGTAGGTTGACTGCAGGCACAGTTTTAAGAGTTGACACAGGTGTTCTGTGGAAAGCGTGGTCCTGCTGCTCAGAGTGGTGTCTGATTTTAATCTTAAACTGACCACCTCTACTGCATCATCAACAGGAATGCACGTAAAGAGTGATGTGACATCAAAAGAGACCACACCCTCACCTTATCCACAAAGTCCATGGTGTTCTGTATGTGGTGTTCTGAGCTGCCAACTAAAGGGATGAGTACAGATGCCAGATATTTGTAAACATTGTAAGTGACAGAGTTAATCCTGCTAACAATTGGTCTTAAAGGTACACCTTGTTTGTGAAGTTTAGGTAACCCTTACAGACTAGGTGTGGCCTCCCCTGGGTACAGTCTGTGGTACAGAATATGGTCTATCTATCAACTTCTTCTTGTAGCCACTTCCTGGATCTCTTTTCAGAGGTTCATAAGTGTTTAAGTCTCTAAGGAGTGTCATAACTTTCTCATGATAGTCTTTCTGGTTCAAAATCACTGCGCACCTTCCTTTGTCTGCTGGGAGAATGATGATGTTTTTGTCCTTGCTAAGAGTGGTGAGTGTGTCCCTCTCCTCTCTATTGATGTTGGAAGGTGGTGGTTTGGCATTGCCGAGGCAGGCTGAAACTTTGATTCTGATTTGTTCTACTTCACCCTCTTTAATTTTGTTGTTGCGGATGGCTGATTCAGTGGCTGTGATCATCTCCACCAGAGGAATTCTTTTTGGTGCAACCACAAAGTTCAGTCCTCTGGCAAGAATCTCTGTCTCTGGCTGGGTGAGCTGTCTGTCAGATAAATTCTTCACCCACTTTTCTGTCTCCCTGGCATGTAATTGTGTACTGGAGTGTTGTCTTACACTGAATGTGTTGTTATTGGAATTGTGATGGTGTTGATGAGTTATTAGTAAGTTAAACTTGTTTTGTTGTCGGGTCTTGGACTGGACATGATGTGCGTGCCTGATCTGTAAATTCCATCACTTGCTAAAGTGTGGTCTGATCTAGGCACGTTGTAAGTTGTTGTTTAATGTGCTCTTCTCTGGCCTTCAGGGCCTCACTAGTAAAATTGGTCTGTCTCACCCGTTCATTTAGCAGCAGGGTCTGTGTCTTTTGAAGTATCTTGCTTGCCCAGTGCCCACTGATGGAAGATTTGAGTTCCAGGTTCTTGGGAATGATGCTACTTTGTCTGCATTAAAGTTTGAAATGCAAGTGGTTCCTGTAGTTCGCCCTCTTTCTTGCAGTTTGCTCAGACTCTCTAATTAGTTTGAGGCAATCCTGGCTAAATGGTTCAAAATATCCTGGTGCATGCTCAATAATCCAGATAGAAAATCTAAAAAAGTTGAGTCTGGTCCTCTGGACGGGATCAAAAAACAAAAAATTGTAGAAACGTTTCGTCTTTCATCCGAAAGACTTCTTCAGTTTGAGAAGCTGTATTCAGCTCTGTCTTATGAATAGCACATTCTCATAGTGGATCAACCAGTTTGCTATAGGGATGGGGTCGATCCAATCCAGTATCGGTATCGGCCTCCGATACCAGCAAAATTTACGTACGGATTTTCCGATCCACGATGCATGTCTGTGGTTGCCCTGCATGTTGGCTTCAAACTATGGAATGGATTTCCTGAACAGCGGCGTGTCTCATGAGCCCAGAGTAATAAGACCTGCCTCACATTCAGGAAATCCAGTTCATAGTTTGCAGCAGCTACAACGTGAGGACTGAGTTAGCAGCACTGTGGCTAACAGCTAACAAACTTTTCATCTAAACATGTCCGCTGTGTGGAAGTATTTTACACTAAACACACCACAAAACAAGACAGCAACGTGCAATGTCTGCAGAGCCATAGTGCCACATTAAACCACGTTAAAGTTAGTTTTACGATGGACATTCGAGCTCCGGGGCTTCAGCGGGGCGCTACTCTTTGCTCAACCCAAAACAAGCGACTCGACACCGGCCAGCCGCATCCAATCTGCCCCGCTCAGTCTGCCCGTCTCCGAGGTTCCGAGGAGGGACAGACTGAGCGTGACTGCCCCAAATCAGGCTGCTTTCTTCGGATTGAACAAGAAGTAGACGTCGCTGAAACCACGGAGCTCTAATGTTTACTGAGAAGTTGATAAACTTCATCATAATTAATGACCAACCACGATCAGTTATAGAAAACTAAGGATTTCTCTGCTTGATACTTGCAGTCAAGATATAGTTTACCCTCCAGGAGATATTTATCAGTACAACAGTAAACAATCATAAAAAACATATGATTTGAAAATTATATTAAAAACATAAACAGCTACATTATAAAGTGATGTAAAATACTAAAAACAGGAACATGTCTGTTGGTTTATGCCAACTTTATGAACTTAGCAGATGTTTAAAGCCATTTAACATTTTATTTAATTTAATTCATTTATTCATTCAGTTAAATGAAACAAAATAAAAATAAAAATCATCAAAAATAAAATATTGAATGAAAAGAGTGCAGAAAGAAGAAAAAATTCTTATATCTGCCCCTTATAAAAAATAAAACAACTTTAAACAATCACTTAAATTAATCACTTTAATATCCACTTTAAAACTAGGAATAAAAAGAAACATGTTTTGTGTTAGCAGAATTTAATTCTAACATTAAAACTTATCCAACATTAATAAAACTTAAAGTTGCCTTTTTGGACATGCATGCATATATTTGTACAAATTGTACTTGAGAGGAGATTATTACAGCCTCATATAAAATCAATGATGATCATGATATTGGAACTGGATTGGTATCGGCCGATACTCAGATCTAGGTATCGGGATCGGATCGGAAGTAAAAAAAGTGGATCGGTGCATCCCTAGTTTGCTGCTGACATTCAAAACTAGCTGTTCACATGAAAGAGTGGCACTTTGCTGTGATGGCCTTCAATGCTGCTTGCAGCTTTAATTTTGTTTGGAATCAATGTGTTTTTTCCTCTTACACAGTGCTTACCTTAAACTGCAGGTTGAATTCTGAGTAATAATAGATGGTGACCTTTTGTTTCCACTCAGGGTCCTGTGAACCACATCTCCTGGTGTCCACTCAACCCTGATTTGTTCTTGAGCTGTTCCTCTGACTGGACAATCCAGCTGTGGAAGCAGGACTGCCTGACCCCCATGTTAGGATTCAGGTCCACCCACGGGGCTATATGGGACATCAGATGGTCCCCAAAGTGGGTCTCTGTATTTGCAACTGTTAATGAGGCACACATTGAAATTTGGGACTTGAATTCAAGCTGGTAAGTCACAAAAGAAGCAACATCCAATCTTTAGCTTTTTGTCTCATTATGTTGCTTGTCATATGCCATCGTTTCCTTCAGTCTGGTCCCAGTCTTTGTGCGGCCCTCTGCCCCAGGTGTGAAGATGACATCCCTGCAGTTTGCTTCACAAACAGACTGTTTAGTGGTTGGAGACACTGACAGCCAGGTGACTGTTTATCAGCTCAGAAACATTGGAGTCAAAGGAATCTGACAGGTAAAACAAAGCAACACATTAGGCAAAGGCTTGAGTGGCTGGCATCTGCACAAACTTGTTTAATTCAATACCACTGTGTGAACCACCTAACAGGAAACAATGAAAGTGGGTCACACTACTGGACATCCAACCCAGAATGGATAGTTTTAAACTCAGGAAAACACAATAAAACAGCAGACTGGCACCAAGTCCCTGTCTTGATCCAGCGACCATCCAGATTGCCCCCTGACTAGAGCTACTGTAAAGCACGCTGGCTGACCCACGTCTACAACACACTGCAACAAAGATTTTTTTGAAAGACTGTTTTGAAATACTGTTTTTCATGCACAGACTGGCTGGTTTTCAGAGAAGCTGCTGTAAATGAGGAGGAACTAGACCTAGAGGAATACACATCCTTGGTCCTGAGATATATCAGCAAGAGTGCTGATGATGTCACCACCATCAGATATGTTTAGAGCTACCCAAACCAGAAACCCTGGCTGAATGCAGAGGTTCGCACCCTGCTGGAAGCCAGGGACACTGCCTTCAGGTCTGGCAACTCACAGGAGCTGAGAAGGACATGGAAAGAGCTGATTGCTATTATTAAAAGGGCCAAAGTCACATATGCACAGAGGATTCAGAGTCAATTCACCTCACTAGACCCATGGAGCATGTGGAGGGGCATTAAGTGCATAACAGATTATAAGGGCAGGGGTGCACAATGCCCTAGGGACTCATCACTGCCTGCTGCCCACAACAAGTTCTATGCACGCTTTGAAGACCCAAACAAACCACCCAGCACTAGACTCACCTCACCACCGGAAGAGGAGTTTCTTAGTGTAACCTCAGCAGAAGTAAGGAGTACCTTCAGGATGATTAATCCTCACAAAGCAACTGGCCCAGACAACATCCACAGAAAGGTGCAGAAAGACTGTGCCGATCATCTCTGTGAGGTGCTGGCCGATATCTTTAACTCCTCCCTCACCCTGGCAACAGTTCCCACCTGCATGAAGACTACCACCATCATCCCAGTCCCAAAGAGCTCTACAGTGACTGGTCTGAATGTCGATCGTCCAGTAGTCCTCACCAGGATAGTCGCTAAATGCTTCAAAAGACTGGTCATGACCCACATCAAAACAACCATCAACATCAACGAGGACCCTCAGCAGTACACATACCGCGAGAATCAATCAACAGAGGATGCCATCTCCTCTGTGCTCCACACTGCTCACATCCACCTGGAGCAGAAGGACTCCTATGGTATGCTCTTTGTTCACTTCATATCTGCCTTCAACACCATGATTCCCAAGACTCTGATGGACAAACTACTCACCTGTTTACTCTGCTCACATATGACAGTGCACCTACCCATCCAGGCTGTCAAATTTTAAAGTTTGTAGACGATACAGCGGTGGCTGGATGTATCACAAACAATGATGAGTCCAGCTACAGGCAGGAGTGGAACACATGGAGAGCCATGTGCTTTTTGCAGCCGTTCGTGCTGTTGTTCAGCGTATTGTTTTTGTTCTGTTAGTGGTTAGCGTATTTAGTCTAGCGCATTTTTTAGTTCATATCTTAGCTCTTATTACTGTTTTTCTTTTACAATTTATACTTTTGTTGGATGTAACTGGGATCCTGTGTACACAATTTTGTTTCACCACATGTACCACATATAAAGAGAATGACAATAAAGAAACTTTGACCTTGAACAGCTTCAAACCCAGGGGATTTGAACCCGTTGACCCCTGGGAACCCCGTTCCTTTAGCCGAGGTTGCACATGGTCCTGGCTGGCAGCAGAAGAAGAAGCAACCTTGAAGCAGAGCACGGTGTTTATCTGACAAAAGTTTTACAGATGAAACAGCGAAATGCATGGACCATGTGTCTTGACCTAAATATCCTCTTTTGTTTGTGTGTGTGTGTGTGTGTGCACCTGCGTGTGGATAATAGTTGGGTTATTGGACATTATACACTGTGCATTCTCAATAAAGCTTGTCAGAAAAAACAATGCATTAGTTACATTTTTGTTTTCACTTCCATACTTTATTTACTGTTGCTTCCGCTAGACCCACCCTTAAGTCACACGGAAATACTCTGTTCACATACCATACCATACCACTTTATTTATAGAGCACTTAAAACAGCGACAAGGCCAACCAAAGTGCTGTACAGACAAAACAACAGGTAACACACAAAGCAAAATACAAAACATGCATACATGCACATTAAAATTACCTGCATTTGTCATTATAATGAAGGAAATGCATGTAAGAATACTATCTGTGTATTTAGGAAGTACAAAGCACATAGTATACTTTTTAAATTGGGTTTGTTAGGAATATGGGATTTTTTTTCACTTAATTTATTCTCACTTTCAGGGAAAACAAAAATAAGAAGTGCAAAAGTAATTTGTAACCATCAGCAATGCTATCATATTTTTAAAAATTGGTTTCACAACACTGTAGGTTTGTTGAGAAACTACGGTAGTCCCTCTCTACTTCGTGGTTCATCTTTCACGGACTCGCTCTATCACAGTTTTTCAAAGTAAGATTGGACAAGACACACAATCTGCTGATTGATGGATGAGCCACACAATCGGCATGGAATTTTTATTTAAAATAAATTTTAAACTAGAGAATTTGCATTTCCTGCGAAAATGCGAGTGTGAATGCTTCTTGCTTAAGAATGTGAAGAAAATAGTTGAAAAGTAGCTTAAAACAGCAGAAAGAAGCTTCAAATGTCAGAAGGAAGCAGAACATGCACAATTGTTCCTAATGTAATGGACTGCCAGGCTGCTGCAGATATAAACTGTTGATTTGACAGTACTATATGTTTGGGTTTGCTCTCAGCTACCGCTACACCAAATTTCAGCTGAATAACTTTAAAACCGCCTGAGTTATCATATTTTTTCCTTTTTAGCTAAGGCAGCCATCTTGAATTTTTGATCCATCCATCCATCCATTTTCTTCCGCTTATCCAGGGTCAGGTCACGGGGGTAGCAGCCTAAGTAGGGAGGCCCAGTGTTCTATGAAATTATCTTAAACAAAATACAGGTTCAGGGAAAGGTCAAAGCAATGAATGACAACTCACGGGCTGGTTCTGCTAGGATAATAAGTGTCATTTATTAAACTGCCACAGATACAGCGAAGCAAAGTACATTCAGTACAAATCAAAACATTGATGTAAAGCCCCTCACCGTGACACCGGACCGGGAAGCCGTTTCAGTCCAAGTGAAAAGGTAATATCAATTGGCTGGGCATCAGATCAGGATCCACAGACTTCCACTTTAATTCTGAGTGTTACACTTTTATACTCCCCCTCTGGCTGGGTGACGTGCGGGCAGAGCAAAACATGTTTACCATCATCAAGGCAGTTGTACATCAGAGCGATGGCTCATAAAAACATGTCTTTCAAACCCAAGTCCGTGGCATACGAGCCTGATGGATGAAAGACTTGTTTACAGCAAACTCCGGGTCGTTGTAACCGCCAGATGGGCCAAATCTTTCGGTAAGAACACTCCCGGAGGCTTATTTTCATTCCTTCGAAGCACATCACCTTCTGCAGCACAAGGCCTAGTTTGTACAGATAAGCTGCATATAAAATGAGTATAAAATAAGTATAAATTGACATATGTAGTGATGTAGGGTTAGGAGCTCCACTACAATCAATATTTAATAACGGGTTCTCTCTTTTTCGAGCTACTTGACAGATATGTGACAGAGTTGGAGATGGTCTAATCAGTGACATGAGACGTTAATTTTCTTTGACCCATCAAAATGAATGTGGTCATTTATTAACAGAATCAAAATTTAACATCAAAACATTGTACACTAGATTATTCTGATCGGCTCTGATTAATAAAACTTGGCACGTTTTACTTAATAAAAACAACAGACATTTCTGAATATATCTGGATTAATTACTGGCAAGATAGAAGAGTTTTAAAGATGGGAAATGAAGGAGTTTAAATGGAGAGAAAAGATGGATGAGGGAAAGTGTGTTGACGAAGAACGGCACCCTCCATCCGAACCCAGCTCAGCCTCGGTGCACTCGGTAGTGAAGCGACTCATTACCTTTGCAGAAGATAGTCAGCTCCGGTACGGAGTTCCATTTCAACGCTACCTTTCAGCGTCTCCTTAGGATGGCTGAGAATCATCCGAAGTAGTGACGGTACTCCGTTCAACAACACACTCACCTCCAGGGTGGACTCACATGAGCTGTGAGTCCGTCATAGGTTCCACTCAGACGTGGAAGATTCCATAATCCCAACTAGACTCGGAAGAACTCCCAACTAACTCCAGCACTTCTGTTCTCCTGGAACTTCTGTTCTCTCCCAGAACTAACTGGAACTAGGAAGTGTAGACTTTTAAAGAGTTCTGCTTCCGGTCACTTTTAGGAAGTCCTGATTGGTTGAAAGAACCAACAGGGGTGTGGTTTTAGTGACGTCAGAGGGTCACTACAAGTCAAGAAAACAGCAGGAATGTTTTAGAAACGTCCCGTACAGACAGAAGACATGTTATGGCGAAGTGGGAGGAAGCAGATGCCAGTAGCTTCTTATTTACCGTCTGCTAGGTTTAAAAACAATCCACTTCGTTCTAATAACTTCTTTCTGACTTTCGACCGACATCACTACTTCTCATTTCAGACAGAAGATCAAAATGCATAATTACTTTGTAACAGACATTAACTTGATTTCTACTTTGAATGAGGATTAAAAAATCATTAATACTGTTTCACAGTTGATTTAAAATGAGTAGTTCACTTCAACATTTAAAATGATTTGAACTAAACACACTTTTGATTATCAAGACATTTGTAAAAATAGTAATGACAATATAAAAAGAGAGTGTTCTTTCAATTGATTAGTTCAGGATACAATTAGAAAGTCTCTGGATGAGCTAATTTGTATTTCTGGATTCAAATCAATGAAATAACAGTTCCTGTCCCATGAAGGTCTTCAGGGTCAGGTTTTGACCGGAGGCTTAGTTCACTACACATAAAAGCATCAAAATAATCATTC